AAAAATTCTTGATAGGGAGCGCTTCCCCCCGAAAGGGGCCCTACGCGGCGCGAATCCGGATATAGTCGGGCTCCAATGCGGGTACTGAACACCGGATGGGAAACCAAAAAAAAATATAAACTCTATAATAATAAAAACGTTGGGGTGAGGGTGGGTCGGTGGGTTGAGGGGGTAGGTGGATAGCTCAAAGCATGGTGTGGGCAATGCAAGTTGAGGAATTATTAAGTGCATTGGGGTATGGAACTATGGATCAAGAAAATGAATGAAAGAACATGAACAGAAAACATCTTCTGCTGAGGTAGGGCCGCAAAATAACTCAGGCAGGTATTTCAGATGGATTTGTATTTAATGCCATGAAACTAAAGGAGTATATTCTATTGAAGAAGCCATAATAATGGTGAATAACAAGTGGAATTATNAAAATTGTCTAAAATAGGAACTCTCTTAGGGTTAGGGTTCGAAGAAGACATGATGAAGAAGAGAAAGAAGTAAACAGAGATTCGCACAATTCAAGCGTTCAAGGAAAAAGTTTTATGTGGTAAAAGGTGAAAGGAAAAATTGAATTTATACTGATGGGCGACCGTGATAAAAATTTGTGGAAGAAGGGTTAAGTTTATGTAAAAGCGACCGTCAAAGACTAAGGAGCGTAATGATGGAAAGCCTATAATAAAGGCAACTATCACTTCGTGAATAGTGGAGTTGAAGAAGCCTTGAAAAAAGGCTGCAGAAATTGCAGAGCTAATGAGAAGGTGACACGTATGTAATGTATTAAATAGAAAAGACAACTGAAGCGTTGGTACTGTCATAGCATTAATTATGGCAAAAATTCCCTTTTTAATGAAGATCCACTTCCCAAATATTTAATTGATAAATAAATGAAAAGTGGGGGGACTATCTGTATTGGAAAAAAACTGAATTTAAGACGTGTCATGGCACGTGGACCGGTCAAATAGTCAAAGTGTGGTAATCAGTTCGAAGGCACGAGCAACAACAGATGCGGGAGAGAAGATACTTAAAGGCACGAGCTATTATTCAAATGAAACGAGACTCGTACCTGTTCGAGTCATTTAAAGCTCGAAGATCAAAAGGAATTGAAGACATGAATCTGATAACGAAAAAGAGTCCCAATTCAGCATTAAATGCCAAATACGTTAGAGAAGTTGTATTTAATATGAATGATTGAGTAACGTTTCTTTTAATGTCATTTATTTCTCGTAATTGCCTCATTAAGACAAAGGCATTACACTTTCTCTTAAAATTAACTATAAAAGGAGAAAGTCATAACATCTGTAGGACACGAGAAAATATTACTGGAATAAACTTTGTTCTTTTTGCTTTCTGATTATATCATTCAAAATCTCTTTCTTATATACTTTTCCGATTATCAATAACCCGAGTTCTTCTAAATTCAAGCTTTGACCTAAAATCTAATTTTTGGTTAAACAACAATATTATTATGTAAGTATGATTTTTTGCCTAGATAGTTAATCAATTTTGCAATTTTTTGACTTACATAACAGAATGGCAGTGATTAGTAGTAATTTCTCAGAACTTTATATGCTGTTACAACCCAATTTAGGATCATGACCGGCACTTAGGAGCAAGTGCTCTTAAGTAAGGCTCATCGGTATTTTACAGAAAATCGGACAAAGTTTCCAACGTTTTAGGACTATTCAAAAAGTTTTCCTGTCTCATAAACAATATACAACCAACAAATACTCACCAAAACCAACCACAATCTTCATGAACTAACCGAAAACGGGTTTTCACCAACACTACCATAATAATACTAAGTCCATCTCAAAAATACGGAAAGAAAATGCAATACTAATAACTAGTCCAATATAATGAATGAATACTCATGACACTAATAAAAATAATTATGGAGCGACTTTAAGAGTTCAAAAGAAATAACGGTAATAATAATTAAACTCTTCGCCCACGCAAACAAGTGCGGGGCTCACCATGATCTATCAACTCGTACACTATAATTTACGAAATCCTCTCACACGTCAACTGTTGTCTCTGTAAAAAAAAAAAGTAGCGGGGAGTGAGTCGCTAGCTCAGTGAGTAATAACACTTAACCACAACCGTTTTTAATGGGGACAAGTCAGAAAGCATGCTAGTATATTAACCAGAAAATATCATAAGAATGCCCTTTCTAAAACGGTAAATATAATCAGTCTATTCATGTGTTCCCTGTAACATAAATCAATTCAACAAATCGGTAATAAACTCGGTAACCCTGTGTCATAGCAAATCTTTATGTTTGGGAGGTTTCCAAAAAAGGATCATGTAATCAGCATCAGTGTGTGGACCCCTTCGTAAAAGGAGTCAAATATAATTGTAGGTCCCTACTCGGAGGAAAACTGTAACCGTATGCTAGTTCTACCTTCCCACTAGCGAGGGCTATAACTCTAATCGGTAATCTGTAAATACAAGGTGCACCTAGGACTAATTAACGAACCCGCCGTTAGCTACGGGATCTTTCAAAGCCTCCTCCCATTTATACTCTTTCTTGTAAATAGTAAGTATTCGTACAAAAGCATTTTCAAAATAATAAAGGGCATATTATTGCTTATCATGTCTGGTAATTTTATTTCGGTAACAGTAATCATGTCTCAAGTAACAGTAAAACATGTCTAATAACACTGAGAATACTTTAAATAACTGCAACATCTCAAGTAACAGTAAAACATACTAGTTATGGTGAAAACATGTAGATTAATCGGTAAACATCTCAAGTAAACTGTTCGGTATCATATCAAGTAAAGGACTTGTCCCACATGCAATTTCAAAGCACCGGTAATGCATTTATTTTCAAAATCATATATAAACCATGCAGGTTATGAAAACACAAATTGTGGTAAGATTACTACTCACAGGACTTGTGCCGAATTACCGAATGTGTCACCACAAGCAATCCGTTCGACTTCTTCAATCACCTAAATTGTGTTAAAATCAATCTATGTATCATTCGTGAACTATCAACATACCAAATCAAAATAACCAGCCCTTATGATTTCTTGTTTGACTCTTGATTTGCCAAATTGGATTTTTCCACTCTACCCGAGAGTACTTCTATGCCTTAATCACATTCCTTATGTTATATATAAATTTCTTAGCCTAAAGTAAAGTTTTTGTAGAAGGCATATTATACCATACTGCTTTTAAAACTTCTAAAGCTCGTTTAAGTTAATAACTACACCATGTCCTTATGGAAGTAGCTTTTTGTCAAGAGTTCTTCACTTAAACTGATCCATACTCTATCGATTTCAACCTTTCATCCAATTTTTAACACTACATGATATCCAAGTCTAAACTAATTAGAATCGCTGCCAATAATAGTTTTTTTTTTAAATTTTATTATACAACATTCACTATCCAATAAATTTTTCTATAAACCAGAGAATGAGGGCAAGCAAACCTGTAGAGAAGAACTGATAGTGCTCGAGCCGAAAGAAACTTGTTAAAACGTTAAAGCTTTTCCCTGCTTCTCTATATCACACCGAAATTGCAGACCCAAACATTACTCCCTCTTTCTCTTCAATGTCAATATTTCAGTTGGTATATTTGAGACTTAGGGTGTGTTTGGTATTATGGAAAATGTTTTCTTGAAAAACAAGTAGTAATCTTATTCATTTTCCGGTGTTTGGTACGCAAATTAAGGAAAATGACTTTTCAAAAGTATTCATAAATAATTTAGATATAATAAAAATGAAGCCATAAACTTTCAAACCGACAACCTTTCGAACCCACAAATTTCATAAACTTTCGAACCGCTAAACTTTTAAAATCGCAGAATTTCGAACCCGTAAACTTTATAATTTCTAAACCCGTAAACTTCCAAACACATAAACCTCCGAACTCATAATTTTGGAACTTGTAAAATTTTGAACCTTTAAACCGATAAATAAAAAAAATTAAAACTAAAAAATATAATTAAAAAATATTTTTTTTCGGGAGGGGGAGGAGGGGGTAGGGGGTGTCAGTAAAACGAAAAAAAAAAATAATTTAAATTACAAAAAAAGAAAAGTAAATTTTTTTTTATGTGCGGGTGGGGGGGGGGGTAGGGGGCGAGGTGAGGGGTGAGGTGGTGGTGCAGAAAACGAAATACAAGAAATTTGAAAATTGCAAAAAAAAAAATAATAATAAATTTTTTGCAGTGTGGGCGGGGGGGGGGGGTTGGGGTGGGGTGCGGTGGAGTGGATGGGTAGTAGGGTGGGTGGTGACGGAAAAACTAAAATTGAAAAAAAAAAGCCTTTTTGGAGAGGGGGTGGAGTGGGTTGGTGAGGGTGGGGAAGGTTGAGAAGAAGTTTTGGAAAATGTTTTCCCTTCTCTTGATAAGGAAAATATTTTCCTCCATTTGGAGTAAAATGAGTTCATAAGGAAAATGTTTTCCAAAATATTTAAGCCAACCAAACATGGAAAAATTGAAAAATATTTTCCTTCCTACCAAACACACCCTTAATGTATGACTTGTTAATTAGGGGTGTGCATTCGATTTATCGATTCGATTTTGACCCTTATCGATAATTACTTATCGATTATCGATTTGTACATATGCTTATCGTTATCGTTTCAATAAGGTTTCAATTTTTTCGATTTCGATTTTGATAACAAATAATCGATTCGATTTATCGATAAACCAATTCGAATGAACACCCCTATGGTTAATTGCTTCTATTTCTACCAAAAGCTCTTCGCCTCTTTCCCGTTCCCCTAAACCCCTTTTTTCTTGTCGTTCACCTCTTCCAGGGCTTTTGCCCATTGTTTTAATCAATTAGGTTTTTCCCTTTTCTTTTTTCTTTCTTTTCTTATTCTTATTTTTTTTAAAAAAGGTTTAAGTTAGGGTTAAAAGACCAATATACCCTAACTTTAATATGAGGTATTACATATGCTCCCTTTAAAATTAAGAATTTGCCAACGTTAAATAAATGGGACCAAAGAATTTTGCATAATTGCATCATTAGACCCATGAATTAATGAGAGGACAAATATAAATGGTCCATCACACCCAGCTGTACTGGCAAGCAGTAGGAGTAGTTGTAGCACCAATACTACATATAGCCTACCTAATCTTCCTCCAATTCTTCGATCAGTCCTCAACTTTCTTAACTTCCTACCATCGCTCTAAATTTCGGCTTCATTGATCTAATGGAAACTAATAATGATTACACACAAGATGGCACGGTTGATCTTCGAGGTCAACCTGTTCTTGCTGAGAAAACTGGCAAATGGAAAGCTTGTTCTTTCCTTGTTGGTAAGCTCCATTTCTACCCTTCTCTTTCTTCATATATGCTCACGTTAAAAGGAAGATTTAAGATTTGAACTTTATGGGGAACGGGCAAAGCTAATGAATTCGGTTAACTTATATTGTACATCCACCCCCGATGATATTGACTCTACTATTTAAGAATGGGGAATCCAATTTATCTTTATTCTTGAATTAAGATTCTTAGAAAGAGAATGACCTTAAAAATTCTTGCTAGTTTTTTCAAGTGATTAATATAATTACGGATGGATCGATGAAACAGGGTATGAAGCATTTGAGAGGATGGCTTTCTATGGGATAGCTTCAAATTTAGTGGTGTACTTAACAACACAACTACATGAAGACACAGTGTCATCAGTTAGGAATGTGAATAACTGGTCTGGTTCAGTTTGGATTACACCTCTTCTTGGAGCCTGCGTTGCTGACACTTGCTTGGGTCGCTTTTGGACTTTCACTATCTCTTCCCTTATTTACGTCATGGTAAGCACCAAACATATTCCTTTATTTCCTCCACAAATAATATGTACTCCCTCCGTTTTAATTTATGTAACCCATTTGACTGGGACGGAATTTAAGAAAAGAGAAAAGATTTTGAATTTATGGTGTAAAATGAGACACATATTTTGGTGGCTATAAATCATTGCATCAAGGTAAATTATTTCCAAATAAGGAAATGTGTCGTTTCTTTTGGATAATGACTAAAAAGGAAATATTGAAACGGAGGGGGTATATGCTATATTGTGTGGTAGACACAAGTCCACATCTAGAAGTTATTATTTGTCATGCTTTAGCTAGGATGCTCCAAAAGGAACCTTTCACATGATTCAGTCCAGGTGCAATATATGTAATTATGTCTGAACCACTTACTATCTTGATTGGCCTACAATTGAGTATACCAGCTATGGCCAATAATTTTGGAGGATTTTTTTTTCCAGTGGGACCTATAAACAATTCCATTGTCCTTGCTAGAGAATGACTTGTAATTAAAGTCACCACATAACTTGGAGCTTTGCCCTAGTATATATAAATTTCTGCTTAAGTTATTTTGGTATTAGTATTAAGTTTAATATACTAACAGATATGAAATATCGCATTAGTTATGAAACGTTTGTACTGGAGACAAATGTTGTGCTACTACCGACTAGTTATCCAAAGATTGTATCAGCTTTCAAAGTAGGGAATCTCTACATGCATATATAACAATTTTACATTATTATCTATTATATACCAAATTTTAACATTACTGTTCACTACATAAATGTTTATTTAGAAGATTTCACTAGACTAGCTAGCAGCAATTGCAAGTAAGCGCAAGAACTGGTTTGGATTAAACTTACCACCTAAGTATTATTTTCGTGCCTGATACATGACTAGCTAATAATTAAACTGACATTTTGGGTTAGAGGAGAGAGCTCTGCTGGAGTGAAAACGAGATAAGTTTGTGCTTATGCAACTCATGGCTACATCAAATAATTTCATTGAACTTTGTACTTTCTGCATTTCATAGTCAAGCTTTGTCCTTTATTAGTGGGATAGCGACCGAAAATCATTTTCGAAAATTTTGTCAATTTGTTCATACTAGCTACTATGATCCAATTTCTTATTCTACTTATTTCATATGTTGCTTGCCCTCCAAAAATGCTGTCGCAACTGTGTCGAATACCCTAAAAGTGCATAACTTTTGGAAGATCCGACACACACACAGTTGGTATTTTTGAAGAGCCAGAGCAACATAGCTTATTTCTGCTATCATTAAATAATTTACTGACCAAACTATTTTCCATTAGGGAATGGTGCTTTTGACAATGGCCGTGTCAATTAAATTCATGAAGCCGAGTTGTGAAAATGGAGTATGCAACAAGGCCACTACATCTCAAATCGCCTTCTTCTACGCATCTCTTTACATAATAGCTATTGGAGCAGGTGGAACAAAGCCTAATATATCCACATTTGGTGCTGACCAATTCGACGACTTTAATCCACAAGAAAAAAAGCTAAAAGTTTCCTTTTTCAATTGGTGGATGTTCAGTACCTTTGCTGGTGCTTTACTTGCTACACTAGGCCTTGTTTACATCCAAGAAAATTTGAGCTGGGGATTAGGATATGGCATTCCAACTGTTGGTCTGATATTTTCTCTAGTCATTTTTTACATTGGAACCCCAAATTACAGGCACAAAGTTAGAAAGTCTCAGTATCCTGCTCGGGACCTGTTTCGTGTTCCTATTGTTGCATTTGCCAACAGGAAAATTGATCTCCCTAATGACCCGTCTGAGCTTCATGAATTTGATATGCAGTATTATTTCAGTACTGGAAAACGCCAAGTCCATCACACTCCAGCATTCAGGTAAGCGTTTATAGTTTTTATTGAAAATCTTTAACGTTTTATTTGGTAGTAAAAGTGCAGCCCGGTGCACGAAGCATTCCACATTCACGCAGGGTCCAGGGATGGGCAGCACCCCAGGGGGTGTGATGTAGGCACTCTACCCTGATGCTTGCATCAGTGGCTGATTCCATGGCTCAAACCCATGACCTATAGGCCGCAGAGACAACTTCACCACTGCTCCAAGGCTCTATAAAAAGATTCTTATCCTTTAAATTTGAGAAACTAAGGGTAGAAGGAAGTAGGGACCTCCCAACTTATCCACAACTAAGGAATCTCCAAATAGCAAAATGTTGATGCCTTGTTCCATCTTTTTCATTTGTTAGAATTCATCTAATCATTAATTGCCACGTGGACATTCATTTACACTGCTCTACTGTACTTGGTCCTCCAAAGAATGGTTGCTTTCTCTTGTGCGCCCAATTTAATTACTATGAGTACTCCCAGAAGAATCTAATCTACCAAGGATAAATGAGGGACCTCAAACAAAGCCCACCACATTTTATGCTTCATACAATTTTACGACCCTGCAACATAATAGCACTTGGAATCTAGTTGATCCATTGATTGAGAGAGAGAAAGAGAGAGTCCACAAACCTATCTTATTATGAATTGCCTCTAGACCACGTAAGGCGCAAAAACCCCATTGGTTGCCTTAGTGTATCATACAGGGGTGGATCTAAGGTGTGGGTTCTCGTGAATACAATAGCTTTTGCACATACCTTATATATATATATATATATATATATATATATATATATATATATATATATATATATATATATATATATATATATATATATATACTCAATTGAGAGGTTGATTA